TGGTAAAAATTACATTTAAGGATAAATTAATCAGAAAATGTTATATTGCACTTCACGAAATTCATCATAGAGTCAAGTCAGTTTTGGATCTATCTTTTTTTTTAGATTTACAGCTTGATTCCACACTGTATTTTTGGTACAAGTATGCAATTTTCAGCATGGATATCGGTAGCCCAAATTTCGCAGACCGACCATAGATATCAGGTGTGCGCCGGCGTGGGCTCGAACCCCGGACCATGTGCATGGTCGTCGAGAGTCCTAACCACTGTGCCACCGACGCACTCTTATCATTAATTATAATAGTAGCATGAAATACAATTAAATTATATGTGATTTTAATCATATTTATGAAGATAACCAACGAACAACAACAACCAGCGCCAATTACCATCAGCAGGAGAGATTTGAAAGAGGTTACTTCCTTCAATTATCCGTCTAGGAAGCACAGTTCCAACTACAGGCATGCAGAACAGATGAAGATGTCAAAGTCAGCCAGTCAACCAAAATCGGGAAGGCAAGATACTCCTTCATCAACCTGAAAGCAGTTTAGAAACCTTCTTCACTCACTCAGCCAACCAGCATAAAGAACAAGATTCGAATTTTTAAGACATATGTGAAGTTAGTCAGCCAGTTACTGCTTCTGTACAGGTCAGAAACTTCCACTAAGTTGTGTAACGAAAAGGATTTCCAACAAGCTACTGAAGTCTTTTACCAACAGCTATCCCCTTCAGATGCTCCATACTGAAGATTAAATGGCCAGTCAGCCATAAAGATTTAGCAACAAGGAACACTGGCAGCAAACCAACAAAGTGCCGATTCCTCAAGAAATATGTAGAATAAAATGGGGATGGATCAGGCATACTTTGAGGAAGTCGTCGAATAAAATTGCACACAATGCAGACCATTGCTCGAATGGAATCCAAATGATAGGCGACGAGTAGAAGATGACTCCGAGGGTGACGTGGAGGAGATCGTTTAGGGAGGAGTACACGAGAGCCTATGAGAAATCTTGGACCCAGCTGAAGAAGATAGCACCAAATAGAACAAGGTGAAGATGCGTTGTTGAATCACTGTGTTCTGCTTGGAACCCAAAGTAATAACATTAATAATCATAGTTAAATTTCAAGTGGCAAAACAATTAATATCAAGTATAGAATGATTCATAAGATGCACAATAACCGCAAATTGTAAATTGAAAGGATATCTTGAAGAAACAGAAGGTAAGCCATATCCTGAATACTTTAAACATGCATCAAAAAGTAACAATTTATTGGAGTACATGCTTCTCATTTCAAAATATACAAGCATCTTAGTGATAAGTGAAGTGGTGTAAAGATGTTTTAATCCCTTCTGGTAGTCAGCAAACACAGTGACTTCAGTGGATCTAAATTAGCTTAAGCTGGATTTTGCTAAACTAATGATACCAGTTTACTTTTCTTGGTTCAACAACTCAATTCCTTAACTTTTGTTTCATGTGAACGCACAATCTTGTGGCTTGGCTTTTATTTGTATTCTACACAGTCTGAAACATTACAATACTAAAATACTTGCATGTTAATTTTCAAAAGGACATCTTAATTTCTAGATGTAGAAGCGCTTAGATTACTGTTTATATGAATTATTTTGAAATATTTTAAAAGTGAAGTTTATATCATGATAGCTCTTAGCCTAGTTTACTTAGATATCTCGATACAACTCTGATCTTTAACAGTATGTACCCATAACCCCATCATTTGGGGGGGGGTCGAACCCAGGACATTCAAATTGCAAGGCTACACACACCCACTGACCATCCAGCCACTTCGGCGGAGATCCAATGACCCAGGAATTCCAACTTTCTTCAGTTTGTGATCTTAGTGAAACAGTTATAGAATCTTATCGGTAAGCATTTGTCCTCACACTTGACCAGGTGAACCCTACTGGTCACAACTCCACACTAGAACTGCAGACAGGAAACTTCGTCCTGTAGCCAGCCCAAATAGCTCGACTGTCAAAGAGCTCGACCCCATAACCTGAAGGTCTTCAATTCAGTCCTCAATGGGTTTGTGGGTACTGCTGAAGCTCTCCAGTACTCCCTAGTTTTCAGTGATTCTCTAACACCGATATCACTCCATGATTAAAGTTGAAGCAAATCCAACTCCTAGAAACTAACTCTTGAAAAATAACTCTACTCTTTGGGACTCAGAATCGTTTATTGTCACCTAACTACTGAACAATGACTACTATATGTTAAAAAGGCATAGGTGTAATAATATTTGACGTTTCTTTTATTGCCGTTCACCACATGTTACACTGCTTTTAGTCACTGATTATATTTTTAAGCATGTAACAGCATGTATTGATATATACTCCTAAATTTTGTATATTCATGCCCGCTTATAAACAGATATGTGTGTGAAATGCTCAAATATTTAAGAACTTGTTGCTTTTCTTTAAAAAAGTTTTCCCTCTGCAAAAAACAGTACTTACTCAATAAATGACATTTTAGTGTAATTCATTTCATCCCATAGTCATTAGTCACCTAGGATTAACATAGAAGTCTATAAGTAAAGTGGGTGTTTCTATTGCTGTTGAAACCTTCAAATCGTAAGCGTTTATCCAAGATGCATAAATTAAACGTTTACACGAATAATGGCCAGTACTCGGTTTAACCTACTTTTATCATTATTTTTCAAAATGCTTGGTTTGATAGTGATCAGTATAGCTAATCAATAATTTTGAAACTATCAGTTAATTTTAAGAAAATTACTGAGGAACTGTACAAACTGATATCTCCTTACCAGAAGGTGTGAAAGAGAGTACATATGTTCACTTCACCCTTGTCATACTACAGGTGACTAAAAATTTAGAGGAAGTGAACTACTCATTTGTGCTACAATATGTCAACGGCGTCTCATCATCATGTTAAACTATGTAGAGTGACGTGTCTTAAGGTACAATTCTAGGTTCTAGAGAGTTTTAAACAATGATAGTAGTCGACTTACTTTGCAAAAATATTTAAAAGTATTAGTAAAATGGTGTGAAAAAGAAATTAATACAAGCAAGTATATAATTATATATGTTGCTCATAATTAGATGCATACTTTCGCAATTTACTGACTTTTTTTGCTTGTAACTATTGAGACTAAGGACTCAGAAGTGGTTGTAAGAACCTTTAGCTAACTGTAGACCAGAGGCTGTGAAAATTTCTGGAATATAATGAACTCTGCATAAAGCCTTCTTAAGTTTGAACGCCAACATACTTCATAGATTAGATTTCGTTTGAAATGTAGTTAGATAGCCCATATTTCAAAAATGTAGACATATTGAGGAGGATGCAAAAAGTGAGAAGTGAACCGATCAAGGGGTTTCCAAACCCTCCATACAAGAAAAGATTGAACTGACTAGATTTATTTCCACCTTAAGATCACTGGTTGAAAGGTGACCTGATTTATCATTTCATATTCTACTCAGAAACTTGGGTGTTCACTTATTGTGTCTATTTCACCCTCTTCAACCTACAACTTGTGAGGTCATCACTTTGGAGTTCAAAAACACAATGAAATCTTGTATGCAGAATTGTGGATCGGAGTAATTCTCTGCCTGAACATGACCTTCAGCACCTTCTAATTATTAGTTCGAAGTAAGACTAGACCTTCATTATTTTGCAATCGACAGAACTAATGAAGATCTAAAGCCCACTATCTCTGCTAATCCACAAACCTTAAAGTATGTGTTTTTGAGGCTGTCACAGCTAAGAGATGTAAGACAACCGTTTGATAATCCTGTGTGATGAAACGGATACCAAATAAAATGATATAGTAAAGACGCTTGAGAAGGTCACTGAGATTTGATTTAAGGTATAATTAAGACAACTGGGTTCATAATGGTATAATAACTACTTTAGGAAATAAAGAGATGTTAACGTTTACGTGAAGTACGACGTATAGAAACTCAAGTTCTTATACCCAACCCTTAAAGTATTTGTTTCACCTAGACCAAAGACAAATCAAAACACCATACTGATCATACAAAACATGAGATGCGTTTCGGGGACAAAATTGTAGCACGACTATGAGAGCTTAGCTAGCTAGGGATCGTCAATGAACAAACGAAGGAAAATAACACAACATCGTGTTAAATGGCGAGGATGCGGTTCGGTGAACTTTCAGCTTAACGAATCGAACTGAACAGTGAAGTTTAGCGTTGGATTTTGAGTAAAGAGTACTATGGACTAATAATTGTGAGGAATTATTTACTGCTGCACCAAAGCAAAAAATTCAAATGTTAGAAACTGTGTTTGTAAAGGAAGACAAAAAATAAATGAAACCGATAGTTTGATAGATTTACTCCATTGAATTTGCAGAGTTTTCTTAAAAGTCATTTGAGGCAATAAAATTTTAACGTGATGTTTTACTTGATGGATATGTATGTTTAACTATTTATATTCCGACTAGTTCGGAGAGAAAAGTAGGTCCAAGACCTTTAAAGTAAAAACAAAGTCTGGTTTCATGCAGTAAAAAGTAAACGCGATGCGAACAAAGTCATTGCTAGTTGTTGGCTGAGATCAGCTAGCAAAAGAATTAGGGCCACCATAGAAAAACAGAAAAACATCGTAGAAGGTGCATAGATTTGATGGCAATTCAAGAAGTAGATGGGCTTAGTTGTCTAACATTGGCAAAATCCCGGCAGCGCACTCAAATTGAGAAACTTTTCCAAAATTTGCAGTGTGAACTGAAGTAAATGCTAGTCCAAAGTAAAATATTCTATGCTTATTTTCGGTAAACATATAAAAAATTATGAAATTTTTGAGGAAATAAAGTGCTTTTGCGACAAATACCCAAATCACATAACGTACTTCAAACAGTCAAAAAATGGGATACATTCAAGACATAATGACACTAATTCAACTTCACATGAAAATTATTTTTTTGTTTAACCATCAGTAAGGCAATTCTGCTGACAAACATACTTCATAAATTGTCATTATTAAGAAGCAAAACTAGAGAACGAATACTCACCTGCAATTTATCATGCTGAAACAAGTTATCGCGCAATTGACAACAGGCGCTTATATTCAATTTCCAATAGCCATAAATTTGCGTCCAACAATAGAAAAATATTTGAACTTCACTAATAAAAGTAGTGTGGCGATTCATATTAATTGGCATTAACGGGTTTCACGGAAATCCTCGACATCTGATCAATTTGTGAACTAAGGACCTGGCAGGAGTTCTAACTTTCAATTTATATAATGCTCTTTTGAAATTATATCAAATTATCACCCTTTAAAAATCCATGAATAATGTGTACTCACTGAACTCTCGCTACAATCCTCTTGCATCATAATGGTAAACGTGCACAAAACACTACTACCCTTATCCAAAATGTAGCATAGATAATTTACATGCCTATATAGCTTGAGCTTTTTATACATAGTTTACTCTTCTGTTATTCAGAAGCCATGTGACGTCATTAGTTGTGTTGGTGGTCACGTCCACTGGTATATCTAATAGTAGTAGTGTGATGAGAATGAGGAGACAACGTTTGTGTGGTTGGTAGCCAAATAGCATGAACCCTAATCTCATTCTTTCCTCTTATTTTTACTTCACTTTGAAAGTATTGGCTTGTAACACATAAACACGATACACCATGTCTGAGGTACAAACGAGAATATACACCTGAAAAACCCACATTTGTCAATTAATGAAGTAACAATTTCTCACATGCATTACCTAAATATACACAAGCACTCGTGAACTCGAAAGTTGGATACTAGCTTCAATTTACGAAGCTCTTAGCTTCGTCTTATTTGGATGATGACATTCTCAAACGTAGTCGCCAAAGAAGATTCAATCCCTATACTTTGTCTCTGAACAACCATACCAAGTGAGAGGTGTGTATTATTCATGTTGAAAATCTTGACGGTAACATCTTCGGACCACATTTGAAAAAGCAATATTTCTTTCTCTTTCTTTACCATAAACCAAGGATAGAATGGTGGCATCACAGATGTCAAATTCTCATAGTATGGTGGTCATAAATATGGCTGGAAAATTGAAAAGGTCGGGTATGGATGTAGAAATCCGTCCGAGTGAAAGTACATCAGAAATAAGCTTGTTTATTACCAGGTTCGAAAAGACTCCTCAGTTTGAATGCAAATGACACCTGCAATGATCAAGACGTTTGGGAATCTTTGAAAGCATTTCGACCACGATTTATTAATCACGGTCACATCAGGCCGGAAAATCAGTCATATCAGAATTTATAATTCAGAGCCAAGGGGGCTCAGTTGCCAATGCTTCTCATTTCTTCCTTCAATTAATGCCATCTTTGGCGATTAGGTGTCAGCTAGAAGTGCTTCAATTGTATAAAACAGCAATATTTCATATGCATTTACAGATCAGCAGGTGGCTGTGCACTGCTGGAACTCTTGGTGGATCATACCCTTGAAAGAAAATCACTGGATTCATGTGTCCACAGCTTTTGGCATTCCATCGCTTGTGCTTACAAACGACAGGTACTACACACGGTGTAAACGTTTGGTTCTGAGAATAATTCATACGGATATCTCTTGTGGAGCTGAGAAAGAATAGTAATTGAGTAAACCGTGAGGAGACAACAGCACAAGTACTGCATTCAACTGTAGCAGATGCTCTTGCTTATCCAGTTAGGAGATGTGCATACGTTACGGGAGCCGAACATATCAGATTGCTAGGTAGGGATGGAGTTTAACCGAGTGGACTTGTCAAAACTTTACCTCAGAAGTGGTGGTCGTCAAGGCAGTCAGTTAGCTTCACTGCTTGAATGAATTCGAGCTCCTTTTCCAGGTGGTTCCAACTAGAAGAAACGATCACTACTGTTGCTTGGCGACCTATTCTGATGACTTAGGTATGGCCAACCTAACCTAACCACCAGGCTGCAGGTTACGTCGCCCCAACTAGCGAAATAAAAATACAATGCTTTTATTCGAGGATATAATAATTAGAGATACTACGAAGGGAATATAACGAAGCGCAATAACACCACAACGCAATAATTGCACTCTTGTTCACTAAAAACCCAAATTTTCGCAAAACAATTTGATCAACACAGATTAGTGAATAGATCGTTGGGGACAAAATGGCTGAATATCAACTGAGTTGACGAACTTCCTCGGTTCCTCACAACCAAATCATTCAAATTTAAGTGCCTTCTGATGATTCTTCTCCTACAGAACTATTCACGACGTTTGTGCTAATTATTTTGAAAATGAAACCCACACACTTCTCCAAGTACCAAAATTCATCGCATCAGTTTTCGTCCCACTTACATACCTAGCTGAGTAGATTTACTCTGTCTACACACAAACAGAAGTGACTTCGGTTTTCATATATATAATTAGCATAACTTGTCACCCCAATACTAGTACCAACAATAATAATATATTCTCATTTTTTGTTCATGAGGGACGCCAGTTTACAGGCATCATCAATATGATAAATTACATGTAAGATCAGTAAGCACATTTATTAGTAATAATTATGTAATGAAGTACATAATTTATTATGTTTTAATTATTAAATATGCTTGCTGTTCCAAGTTTATTTTTCACTTCTTTCCCCAACTTAGGGAGCCCTACCTTAAAATACCCCTGATTTTTTCATGAAAAACTGGATCAGAAGGCATGTCAGTATTACTAGGCGTTACTCTTCGTTTCCAAGCCGTCTTCTTCACTCGTCCTAACATATGGAAATGAACTAATTTATCCTGTTTGTCAATATGTTAGCATCTCTCTTCTGTGATGTGGCTACCTTGTTTAACAACCACGGCTTCTATCCTTCAAAATGACTCGTAGACTCCTGTCTGACAAAAGCCTGGAGAGACTCACGCCTATCCCTGTCATTAAACAACATTGGCAGCCACTAATTGACTCTCTGCTTAGTTTATTGCGTCTTTTTCTCACCCATACTTCATGATAAACTTGACGTAGTAACAAACACTACCCATCATCCTATCCTTTTGTCGATCACATTGGGTATCGCTGCGTTTATTTAGAGAACTAAATGGAATATTCTTTAATGGTTCTGTCCGCTCTTCCGCTTCTTATTTCTCCCTGTCATTTCCACAGGAGCTTCAAACACCTATGTGTGACACCTGGTCTCAAACAGAACGTTTAAGATAAAATATTCAACTAATAAAACTTTTTGTCAGCGGTTAAAATATGAGGTGAAGGAGATAATAGGGCAACAATCGTAAGGAACACTTCAAAGGCCAGGAACATAAAAGTGAGCAGAGAAGTGGAAGCTGATCAACCGGAAATAGATGCTCCCGCCTTGAATGCGACATGCTTTTTCCTTTCTAAACAGAAAATACCTATTTTGTGAATTATCTCCTTGGGAAACCTGTTCCTCCAAGCCGGTGAATTCAATTCAACCATCACTTCCACATTAAATCTCTCTGGTTAAATCCAGCTATCCTGAACTACTGATAAAGCTTCAGGTGCTACATCTGCAATGGTATCTCTCTCACTCGCTCACACAAACAAGACCTGTTGGTCTGTCACTTGACTGCTGTAAAGCCTAGCAACCCAAAAGTTCCAGAAAAGGTTGAAAACCTTTTATTTTTCTTATTTATGCTTTGCCAATCTATTTGTTCCTGTTCTGTTGGGCAGATGCTGCTGCTATCTCTTATTTTCAAACAAGCACGATTTATAATAATCGGTTATGTGGTGGCTGAAATTAGTCTTAAAAAGGCATTGAGTCGCTGTATTCTGGAGTGACTCAGGCTTGAGCCAGAGAAGTAAATAATCCAAGGATATTAGTCCCATTTCACATACTGGTCCTCAAGACTCATGTAAATATTCCCTGATCTGTTAGCATGCTTTCATTGCCACAGTCCAGCTCACAAACCGCACAGGCGAAAACAAGTGGACACGACACCACGCCTGTATCCATGGGAAGCCAGTGTCACACAGCAAAATTAAAATCATGCGCCTAAGGCGTCATAAGACCTCGAAGGCATCTTCGGGAAAAGGGGCCAACTGTCATGCCTGCAGTGTCATTTTTTTCCAAAAATGACTCAGAATTTGAGTGCAATTTTTGCAAGCGATGGGTGCACTGCCGTTGTGACAAAGGAGTGCCGCAGCCGTACTGTGAGTTCATGCAGAATGACCCGTGCCCATGTTTCTGCTACATTTGCCCAATTTGTCGCCCCGGCGCAGTCCCAAAAGGACTGCTGTCCGATAGCAGAAACAGCACGTGATTGGGGATTTTCGCAGATATCAAAGAGGTCTTGTCAACGTTTGGGAGATTTATGAATGATACATCTAAAAACGGCAACAATCACTGTCGATTGTGCAACTGTACATATCAGTAGTTCGAAGTAGGAATTTCCACTATGCAGCGTTGTTTTATGTCTTTTTCATGCATGCCAGGCCTCTAGAAGGAGGATAAGTTTCATTCCAATTAGTGAACATAACCAAAGAAGTTCTCAAACCAACATGTATAAAAGTGGCCGTATCAAATAGCGTACACGCGCAGTTATGGCGGGTAGGTTGTCAATTAGCAGCGTATTGCGAAACGTTTTTGATTTACACAAATCTCATGGCTACGATAGATGCTGAAGCTGATGCCTGCATCAGAAGGTGCTAGCTAAAAGCTCAAAAATATTAGGCTGCGTCGTTCGACAGGTTCAATATCAGTATGCGGAACAATATTAACAACAGGGCGAAGAATGCTCATAGGCAACTGAAGAGGTATTAGGGACGTTGAATAGTTTGCCTTAGCATTGTATGCGCGAAGAAGCTCAGTGATTGCATGTTTACCACAATTATTGACCACCAACTTAATAATTGCGAACTTGTGGTGATTGACAATTTCTATCTCTGTATTGTTTAAATACTTACTGTTGACTGTTGATATGTTTCATATATGAATTGCAGAATAATTCCGCTAAATACAAATTCCTGAGTTCTGCCCTCTCTGTGTTTTGTTTGGATTCTTGTAATTCGGTCATCTCGAAATACTAATATTCCAAGTACAATAAATTACTGCAGAACTTCAGACTAAAAACAAGCTTATGGTAGCATCCCTTGAGAGAAACTGACCCCGACACTTCAAAATGTGCAAAACGTCGAAAGAATCTCTGT